GGCCATTTAGTTCAGAGATAAAACACAGAAACAGAATGCAGAATGCAGAGGAGGTAAAATGACACTAGTCTATGGCTCGAAATGGGAAAGAGATGGTGATGAGACAGCTGCTTTGATTGACAGTGGGGTGGAACAGGGGATACAGAGGGAATATGTCACTGTTCTTGCATCTTCAACTGACGTACAATCTCCATCCCAACTCATCCTCTATTCAGGGAAATATAAGCCAAGAGCGTGAGTAGGCGGAAGGAAAATTACATTTGTATTTCAAAGCTCCTGATACCATGTGAGGTCAGCACTTACTATCTAAATCCTTTGCTGCTTCTCTCCTATCCTCAAACCTTTGTCACTATCAGTTGCCTGGTGGGCAGGCACTTGGCCTGTGCAGGTGGAAGACAGTACACAGTATTCAAAAATAGTTTCATGTCCACACAGATTGAAGCATGCATGCACACTTACACACCTTCCAAAGCTAGAAAACAGCATCAGAATTAAACTTAAGAAATTATTTCCTTAACACCCTTTTCATGTTATTTTCTTTTGTAGAATGACTTTTGTTTCTGCACTTACTCATATGAAAAATCTCTCTGTTATCCCCTACATTTGTTCCACACGGATCACTTCATAAACAGCTGAATCGTGGTAAATGAGAGGAACTTGGTTGGTCATCTCTCTTCTCCGGTGTTACTAAAGAAGAAAGTAGTATACACAACACATTTTTAAACAACAGACAGTACAGAAGAAGAGCTGCTTGGAGGACCCATTTAAGTTTGATGGATTTTCAGAGAGCCTTACACAGAGCGGAAGAAAGCGATGCACGTGTGCCACCGAGAAAATAGCAAAACAAAAAGTTCTTTTCAGAATGAGCATCTGAGAGCCAGCTCCCCTCATCAGCTAAGTACCTCCACTTCAGAACACACAACAAATATCTAATTAACACAAATATCTAATTGCTTTAACAGAATAGGCAGCAAATTATGTCAAAGGGAAAAAAATTAAACAGCGGGGGAATCAGGGAGAAAACTGCCCAGGAGATTATTTATTTGAGGAATGTGATTATATGCACAAGTATTCTTCTCTTTAATGTGCTTGGCTGAGACACTGCCGCAGCAAGCGGCTCTCATCCCATGAGACAATGAAAGGAAGTAAGCTCTTCCAGTGGGAGGGAGGGGATAGTCATTAGCCACAAGACTAGGTAATTAGTAAAATCCTGGCGTGTCACAGACACTTGCCTTGAGTAGTGTTCTGAATCAATTAGTTTGATCTGATTCTGTGCTTGGCTCAAAATTAAAATAAAAAATGAATAGGCAAGCAGGACCTGACCAGTCAATATCCCTAATCTAACGCAGCCCATAGAACTGTTCACCAGTAAACTACAACTGTGTCTAGGAATGATCAAATTTAAATTTGTTTTACTGACACCAGATTGGATTTTGTCAGAGACGTTTTAAAGTGAAATTTTTATGAATTCTGAATAAAAATCTTACATGGAAAATACGTGGAGAAGATAATGATTTATACTCAGTCAAGACAATTACATGAATTCTAAGTGATTTCAGGAGTTGATTCCTGTGGCAAAGATGGTCTCTTCCCTCCCGCAAGCTATGACCCTCTTTTTTCCGTAAAGTTCTTCTCATTGGAGAATCTGTCCACAGCTCATTCCATTTGGCCCCAGATATGTTATTCCAGGATTCCCTGCACAGCTACAGAAGGTTGACACTTACTCGTTCATTCATTCCTTTACCCTATCTTCCCCAACATCACTAGGAAGTAGCAAGAGCCACCTGAGCATCCAGTTTTCCCTTTAAGCACGTGGGACAATTGCACCCTGCTCTCATGCCCTTTGGTTGCCTTGATAAATGCTAATTTGTAGCTTTTAATGTTCAAGGAAAAAGAGGAAATTGAAAGCTAACATAAATCAATAATTAAAAGCATAAATTGTTAACTTGGGAAAGGACCTCAGAAGTCATAGGATCAAATTTTCTATCCAGTAACCGACCCTCTTTAAAAGATTTGTAGAATGCGGTGGGGGGTGGGGGAGCAGGGTTCAACTTCTGGTTTAAAATCATTTAATGGCAGAAAGCTCATTATCTCACAAAGCAGTCTGTTTTACCATTTTCCAACTCTATTTTGAAAGTTCTTCCTTAAAGGAAGCCA